GAGAGATTGAGATTTCTCCAAAATCGTACAAGGTGAGTTCATCTTAACCCTATATATATATATATATATATATATGCTATTGAAATGAAGTACCTTGCTTATCCTATGCCTTAATTTACTACACATACTCACTTAGGTGAAATGGATAGTTTGGGTCAAAAGGATGAACTTGGGCAATCTCATTATTAAAAAAAAGTCGAGTTTGGACAAATGACTTTGATCAATTGGTAGGATGCTCCTTTCAAAGTGTTATTGGCTTTTGAACTCTAAAAGGTTCATGCCCGTAGTTCGGGGTTCTTCTTTGGCAAGCGAAGAATATTCTTACTTGAGTTAGGACGCACATGAAACCTCATTGATAAATAATTACTCTTACGCTCATGGTACCCTATTCATGCATTTTTCTAGAATGTAACGAGTCTTAAGGCATGAAGAGTCGTTTCATTGTAGTTGTGGAAGGATGGTGTAAGTTGGACTTAGATATTGTGATTATTATGTAAATTCCAAATCATCTTTTCTCACTCCCACTCGGAAATAGGCATGGTGATTATTATGTAATTTCCGAGGTAAAGAGCTTAAGATCACGATCGACTTCATGACTGGTTAGGTTGTTGTCAATGGTATTAAACCTGCAAGTGATGCTCTGTAACGTTGAACTATGACTTATTTTGTGTTCCGTCATAATCAGTGGCAAATCAGGTCTCCCCCGTCATCTACGGATGTTTAACTCCACCCTGAGTTACGATCGTAGGTAAATAATCCTCGATCAAGGGTCGAAGGTTTTACGGCCATAGAATACCACAATTATAGGTAGAGAGATCGTCAGTCATCGGAAATCCTGGTTAGGGATGTCATCGAACCAACCTACCATGCCTAACAAAATTATTATCACTAAAAAGTTCATATTATTGATTACAAATGTCTTATATCATATATAAGAAAATAATCCAACTTCGATTCAATATTCTAACAATTAAATAGGTTGGGCTAATAATACTATTCCAATACTAATGAGTCTAACATTTTTCCTTTTTAACTGTAGAAAACATGAAGAAACTCAAGGATAAGGCAACATCGGAATCCAAGAAGTTAAGGATAATTTATGATAAATGACAAATTATTAATTTTTCGTTGGACCAAAAAGGGAATAAGAGAAAGTGTAAGAGGAGTAGTTGACAAATACTTCAAGTGAGAAGTCAAGACCTGTAATATAACTAGTCAAAGGTAGAGGGTCCTGTTTGACCAATTTGGCAAAGCTTTGAATTTCTAAGCAATTAAAAACATCATTTCAAAATCATAAGGGTGGTTCCTGATTGGTTTGAACTTGGCTTTAAAGGTCAAAAGTATCAGGAGGTCTCAGGTTCAAATCCAATGAGGAATAAAAATCCTCTTGTGGCTATGGAGGTTCAAATGCGGTGACTCCGGGGTATCTGCAAAGAAGGTGGTTTTTAGTCGGCTCGCATAGCGGGTTGGATATCCAGGTTAATAAAAAAAATCATTTTAATGGAACAATTAATGACATTCAATTATGAACATTTTAACGAAGGAGAATTTTGGCTATCCAATACGGACCGTTTTGCTTGGGAAATTTGAGTATAAGTACGTTGGAGTGTGAGGCACAAAACCCCTTGCACTAATCGAGTTTTGGACAAGAGAGTAGCAAGAAATCGGTCGTTGAAGCAAAGCTAGGCGTTCGGTGGTTGGCAATGATTTGAGGTAATTTCTCGACCCATTCTTGTGATTTGTAGTAGCATATGGTTTTGTTATATGTAGTATACTTACGATAATAGTTTGGAACCGACTGGATGGCAGAAAGCCGTCAATTTGACGAATAAGTTTTAGTTCATGTTTTTATAAATAAATAAAAAAACTAGTATTTTAAACTCAAAATCAAGAGGCCATAATGCATGAAAATCCATGATTCTGTTTTATGGGGTTGAGAAATATTATGAAGGTTTTATTTTATAAAAAGACTCATAGAATTAAGAAATGAAGGAAAAACGGAAGAAAACGTGAAAATAGTCAAAAATTCCCGTTTTTCGCGCCACCGGCATTCGCATGTGGTCTCGAATGTATTATGGGCCTCATGCCTAGGCCTCATGTTGGTTTGTTGTTTAGTTGGTTGTTTTTTTTTTTTTTTTGGTAAGGGTGTCCGGACCAAAGCCCGACTAATCCCCGACAAATTTGGAGGCTAAACATGGCCCCACTTAAATGTCGCCAACACTCCACTCCCAGGGCCCGAACTCGGGTTCATGACTATGTCATGCCCAAGCCTTTAGTTGGTTGTTGTTGGGCATTAACAATATAATATTAGAAGCGCAAATCTTATCAATTTTGGGTTCTAAGTAATTATTTCCTTAGAGAGACTATTAAGTTATTTAGTTTATATTAAATGATTAAATAATAATACTCAGTGTCGTAATTAGATTACGAATCATTTAGGATGTTATAAGTTGGAACGATAAATTTGTCTAACTATAAAGATTAAATAGACTTTATGGGATATTATAGACCTTAATACTTTGAGGTTGATCAAGAGTGACCATAAATTGACTTTTAGTTGAACTTTGGGAGTTTATACCACTTATAAATGTTATGGTATGAAATTGTAGGTTATTGGTCGGGTGTTGACTTTAGTCGATTTACACGCATCGGTGAATCTTCATGAGACGTTTACTAGGATGCATGCTTATGTAAATTGTATTTGAACATGAGAATTATTTGGGACAGATATGTGGTGCATAATACTATTTTCATATATATGTTTATGGGCTTTAATACACGTATGCAATTTATTATCTGGATTGCATGCTATTTGTTTACTATTTTAAAACATTATTTAGCACGCTATAACGGGGGCTATTTTTTAAATCATTGATGGGATTGGATCGATATGTCATAAGAGAAGACAATTCCTTTGGATGAATGATTAGACAAAGGAGATCTAGCCATATAACCTGACAAATGTCGATGATAATATGACCTTTACCCATTGAGACAATATATGATATCTCGTAATTATTTAAAGGGGTCTTGAAACAAATATGCATACTATTTTATTTGGGTGTTTGTTTTATTTCCGTATGATAGGTCATGTATGTTATATACAAGATAATTATGATATTATTGAGCTTTATAAAGCTGACTATTAGTATGCATCTCAGGAGTAAGAGATTCAATGGTGGACAAAGACAAAGGTCATGCTTAGTGAGTTATATTTTTTATTCATTAAGTATAAGATTTTGTGATGTTTAGACTTGATGTTTGAACTTATTTTGTAACGTAGCCCGAGATGGGATGTGTTAGCGTTGGGCGATTATTTGCATTTACATATTTTAAGAGTTTCGTTGTAACAAGACTTTATAAGCAGTTATTCACAGGTTATTTATTATTATTTAATCAGAATGATGTGGCACAACTCATGTTGAAAATGAGGGTGCTACAAGTTGGTATCAGAGGTTTAGCTTAAGAGAATTAGTTATGATGATAGCGTAATGATAGCTATGAGTCGTATGTGTTCACACAGTGAGCACAAAGTCCCCACAGTGGGGGTGCAAGTGTTAGCCGACACTATAATCGCTATAAGTAGTAAAGTGGTATAGTACAAAGATTGTTTCCACAGGGAATGCACTATTGAGAATCAGAGAATTCCATGAACTTCTTGAGCACGTTTCGGTTGTGAATAAAATCCAATTTTTTGTTGGTTGAAATGCTTGAAAGACGAAATAAACTTATGATTAGAAGATAGGTATGGGTGTAAGCTTTTCTTAAAGCAACCGTAATAACAAAATG